ATAAACTACAATTGAATTTAATATTTTATATCTATATTATGTTTACTATTATTTCTATAATTTTATATCCGTTGTTTCCCATTTATTTATTTACATACGTTATAATTTAATCTATTCTCGATGCTTTTAATCATTTTTAACGTCATCTTTATCGTCGTTTTCGTAATATTTTTTCACGTAATTTTTATGTACCGTTACTTTTTTAGGATTCCGCGATATAACTACATTTTCTGAATCTAATAATTCTAATATTTCGTATGGCCCCTTCCAAAGTGGACTTAACTTGTTTCTTTGGGTGTGATCTTTAAGTAAAATCATATCCTTAACTTCTAACTCTTCAATTTTGACTTTTTTATCGTAATATCGTTTATTTATTTCTTTATTTTTTATTAATCGTTCCCGTGCTATTTGACTTGATTTTTGTAACTTTTCTTTTAAATCGTACACGTAATCATCGTAATTATACCTAGGTTCTGGACTTGATTTTAATTTAACTGGAATATTAATGTCCCTACCATACACTAACGGATAGGGTTTGTATTTCGTGGACGTGTGTTCTGTAGAATTGTATACAAACATTGCGTATGGTAAAAGTTCATCCCAATTGTCCAAACTTTTACTTACGTAGTGCCTTAAATATTCTGCCAATGTCTTGTTATGTGAACGCTCCAGAGCGCCGTTGGTCATTGGATGATAACCCGAAGTCTTAATTTTATTAATTTTTAACAACTTACAAACGTCCGTAAAACATTTTGACAGGAACTCAGTTCCTTGGTCACTTAATATTTCGTCCGGAATTCCGTGGATACAGACAAAATTTGTTACGAACGCCTTTGCTACCACATTTGCCGTGTGACAAATCAAAGCTACCCCTTGACTAAACTTCGTTAAGTCACATTGCATTGTAAGTATATAGTTGTTTCCTAGACTTGTTGTAACTAACGGTCCTACAATGTCCAAAAATATTTTTTCAAATGGTCTTGTACTTGTCGTTGTTATAACCATAGGATACTGAATATGCTTATTAGTATTTTTATTAATTTGACAAGCTGTACAATTCTGTATATTATATTCCCTTACTTCCTGTTTCATATTTGGCCAGTTAAATTGTTTTTTTTATCTTTTTGACTGTCCTATTCAAACCTCAATGCCCGCCTAATCTGGACGTGTGCATTTGCTTAAAAATTACTAGTTTTTCTTCTTTACTAAATTCCAATTTGGTACAGATTATGATTTCTATACCCGTATTACGAATCTCGTATCTTATCATTGACCTAACTCTTGCCCAATCTAGTCCGTCTTGTTGTCCTAATTGGTTCATTGCTAACTTTATTAATTTATGTTTTTCACAAAAATGCTTAAGATTTTGTAATGCTATATGTACATTTTCGTACGTTGCTAATTGTTTCTGTTTTGTTTTCGTAATTAGAAATATTATATATCTATCACCGTTTTTAAATTTTACAACGTCACCTAAATCTTTATTAGATTTTAATATTTTATCTCTACCAAATCGTTTCTTTAATTCATAATTAATACCTGATCTAAAATTATAATATTTTTCGATCTCAGATACGATATTGTATTCCGAAGGGCTGTCTATTAGATCCCCATGTACTTCTTTAACGTCCTTATTAGAAATTCCTGTTGTTTCAAATTTTTTCATAAAACTTTCATAACTTTCATCCTTAATTTCATCGATTTTATACATACGAGATAGAGCATCGACATTTGTGTTTAATTTACAAATTTGTAAACTATTTCATAATTATATTGTTCCAATTCGATACGCCATCTTGCTAATCTAGATAAAGGATCTTTTAAATTAAATAACCATGACAACGGTCTATGGTCTGTAAGTATTGTAAATTTCCTACCATACAAATACGGTCGAAATGTTTTTACGCCGAATATAATCGCTAAACATTCTAGTTCTGTTGCTGAATAATTACATTCTGCCCTGTTTAAAGTTCTAGAACTGTAAGCCGGAAAATTCATTACAGCCTGAACTTTCTTTTTGTCGGGTTTTATTCCTTCGTCGGAAATTATATGCCCCAAAAATAAACATTCCCTTTGTTAAAAATTACATTTATCCGGTTCTATTTTTAGATTATGTATACGTAACCGTTCAAATACATTAATTAACTTCTCATTATGATCTTGTAAGTTTTTCGCGTAAACTATTATATCATCTAAGTATACCAGACACTTTATTCCTATTAGACGTGATAATACATTTGTCATCATTTTCTGAAATGTCGCCGGAGCTGAACTTAGCCCCATAACTAATCGTTTAAATTGGTAATGACCTTGCCCCGTGGAAAACGCTGTAAGTTCTTTTGAATCTTTTGCTAAACTTACTTGCCAATTACCCGCCTTTAAATCTAACAATGTAAATAATTGGCATTGACCTAATTGATCCAAAATTTCCGTTATATTTGGTAACGGGTGAAACTCGTTTAATGTTACATCATTAAGTGCTCTAAAATCTATAACTATTCTGAATTTTTGTTTTCCCGATGCATCCTCTTTCTTTTTAACTAAAATTAGTGGTGCATTAAACGGACTCATTGATCTTTCAATAATTTCGTCTTTCATCATTTGATCTATTTGTTTTTCTATTTCTGGTTGTTGCGAAAATGGTAAACGGTACGGTTTTTTATAAATTGGTTTCAAATCTTTCGGAACTTTTATTACATGTTCGGCCGCTGTCGTACACGTAAGTCTATCACCCTCTAAATAAAAAATATCGGAATAATCCTCGCAGATTTTTGTTATTGATTTACGTTCATGAACTTGAAGATGATCTGTACGTATCAACGCCCTCACTTTTTGTTTCCGTTCTATATCACGCGTATGAATGTGTGTGTAATCGCCGTGTGTTACTATGTCGTTCTCGTATGATATTTTACGTACTTGACCTACATTTACATCCTGCGTCGATTCAGATATATTTAACACGCTTATCGTTATTTTCCCGTTTTTAACTTTATTATAAATATTCGTGCAATATACATTTGGTAATAATTCTTGTTTATTAATTAATATATTTTTATTATTCATTGCCTTATCTGTTATATCGATTTGCACTACCGTTTCTGAACGTGGTTGCAATGTAAAACAAATATTATTATCGTTCTCTATTTTGCTTTCATTTATCGTAATTGTATTATTTGCAACATTTATTATTGCGTGGTTATCTATTAAAAACTTATTTCCTATTATTCCGTCGCCGGATATCGGAAAAATTTTACTAACTACATAAAATTCTGTTCCAAATGCTATATTATCTATAATTAAATCTATTTCTGTCTTTCCTATTGTGGACACTATTTTTTCATTGATTCCCTTTAAATAAATTTTTTCTTTTTCATTAATTTCAGTATCTCCCTTTAAAGCGTTAATTTTTATTATGTTCAGATCCGCACCCGTGTCTACTAACAATTTAATTTGATCTTTATTGAAACTTGGCGATTTTAACGTAATATGATTATCTAATAATCGAGTTGTGATGTGGAAAATTCGTTTTGTGGGTCTTGTTCTATTTCTTGGACCAACCTCACGCCCACCTGAGGTTGTCCCCTGAAGTTTTTGAATTATTTTTCTCATTCTTCTGTTTCGTAAAACAGTTCGCAATTTCATGTCCTACCTTATTACAAAAACTGCAATGTACATTTGGTGCCCTATCATTGCCTGTACGATTATTACTATTACCAATATTACGCGCGCCGTTGCCGCGATTATTACTAATTACTATTATACGTATTTTGCTGTGTATTTGGCCTTCCTACTGCCTGCCAGCAATCCCTTGCAAAATGATTAGGTTTCCCGCATGTGTAACATCCGGTTCTAATCTGATTAGTATTATTTCTTTGAAAATTATTATCGTTAAAATTTCGTCCATAACTATGTCCGCCGCGAAAACTTCCGCTGCGATTATTCGCGCCTGTACTATAAGCGCCGCGATTATTATTGCTATATCTATTGTCATATCTATTAAAATTATTATTTCTACTATTTTGATTTGCGTATCCGTTTTCTCCGCGATTAAACATATTATTTCTATTACTATCATTATGTCGTTTTTCTTCGTTATTACCATTAATTTGTTTTTCATTACTATTTTGTTTTTGTACATTTCCCTGCAACTTTTCCATTTATAATTTAGAATTAAATTCAAGATCTTCATCTACCGCTAGTTTAAAGCATTGTTCTAAGGTTTCTGGTTAACGCTTGAGTCTGACCTAGTACTTGAACGACCTACGCCTTGTTTATTTTCTCGTGGCGTGGTACCTATCTGTTCTGTTAAACTAAAGCTGGTTACACACGGAGCGGTTTGGCCGCGCGCGGTCGCGGTTTTTATCCGCGGCGGATAACCACTGACAATTAAACACGGGTTATTCAATTGGCATATTCATACGGAAAAACCGCGCCGCTGATCGGCGCGGTCAACCGCCTGCGACCGCTCTTGTTTAATTTTCGAGCGGTTGACCGCTACCGCTCACTAAAATTAAACAATGTTTTTCCAATAGACCTGTTCAGACGGGCGGTTTGGCCGCCGCGGTTCGCTAGCGCCGGGTCTTGTAAAAAATATTTAAAAAATCATGATTGAAGTGTGAACTTGGTAAATTCATTGCTTCAATGTTACATTTTTATTTACAAGTGGAAATTTTATAAATAGTTAAAAATTATTCGATATTGATCGAGTGTAATATAGTACTATATGTATTGTGGCCCCCAAGATAACGTCCAGTTGTCGTGTGTGTATACGGGATACAGTGATGGGCGAGTGGGAGACATGGTGGGACCGAAAGAGTGCCGAGTGTCAACAAGTCGAGGCGAGTAGTGGACAGGTTGAAACAAGTGCTAAATTAATAATGTTGCGCCCTGACAACGGAAACTCTTGCAATGTCTGAGGACAGTGTACTACCGTCTACCGATATTCATAGGTCACATAGTAGTTTTTTTATAGTAGTACCTATTTAGTATTCAGTTTTAAAATGATCGATACTGAACAATTTATAATTGAAATTCAACAAAATGATTGTATCTGGAACAAACGTAAGTATTGCATTGAACATTTATATTTTATTTATAAATTTATATAATATTTCAACTTGCAAGTTATAAGTATTATAACTAACGACAACTAAAATATCTAAGACGATAAATCTAATTTAATTAATATTAAAATAGAAGTTATTATATTATAAAAATTATATATTATAATTTATAATGTATTTAGAGGAAAGAAGTCATCATGATAGTCAGGCGATTCATGTGGGATGGACAAGTGTAGCAAATGCTTGTGTTCACAAATTTAATGAACTGGTCGATAAACAAAAATCGGAAAAAAGTAAAATTTAGATTAATATAATTATTATTCAACAAACTAGTTTTAGTTTAACAAATAAAATACACGGTTTTATATAAACAATAAAAAAAAGATCACCTAGCTGTAGTCCTATAGGCGACCACTTATAATGTTAAAATGCCCGATATTATTCACCAATAATTTTGTTCTGCCAGCTAAGTGCATGATTTGGATCATTCACATATGTCACGAAGTATTCCCTAATATCTTTTGCGTTGGTCTGTGAATTTCCAACACCTCTTCTCTCCGTTATACTTTCCATGAGATTGCTTTGAGTGTCTTCAAAAATACCTTCACCGTCTCCTCCGTCTCGGCGTCGTACAGAATTATGTAAGACGCAGCAGGCTTTTGTTATTTTTACTGCAACATTTGGGTCAACTAACATGCTCGTTTGAAACACTCGCCATTTTTTAGACAAAATCCCAAACGAACATTCTATGTATTGACGGGCCCTCGATAGACGATAGTTGAAAATCCTCCTGTTGTTGTTCAATGTTCTGCCTGGAAACGGTCGTAACAAATGTTTGTGAAGAGCAAAAACTCATAAATAAGTAATATCTCAATTATTTTATTTTTCACTATGCTTAACCATTAATATTATTTTGGATATTGTATCATTATTTAAATAAGTAATTAAATGTGTTGATTTAAATTAGTAAAAGATCTCAAAATAAAATGGAAAAATATCAAGGACAATTACAGAAAAAAGTGTATGCATAAATCCGGGCAGGCAGCAAAATCAGACAAACCTTATGTATATGCAAATATTTTAGAGTTCCTTCGACCAACAATGGAAAACAGAAAGTAATGTACTGATTTTTTTTACATAGTTAAATCTTCTAAATAAATTTTAAATATGATTTTAATATTATTCTAAAGCACTGAGAGTAACGTTGCTGTACAAAACGACAGAGAGTACACCACAGACAATGAAAATGATATATCCGCAGAAGCTAACCACTCGGGTGTATCTGAAGAAGAGTCTCCAGCTGTTCATCGAAAAAAAAAAAGACTACAGAAAATTCTTTTGAAAACCAATTAACACGTTTATTAAAAGAACGCAGAGTTTCAGACGATCCGGTGACATCATTTCTGATGTCTTTGGCTCCTCAAATCAGAAAAATGACAGAAGACCAGCAAAATCAAGTTTATATTGAAATGATACAAATAGTTCAAAAAGTAAAAGCTTCTAAAAATTCTGATCAAATTCAACCACAGTCCATTCCTTCTTCAATTAACAATAGTACTTTTCAACCCTTGCAATATTCATATAATAATAGTAACTCATACCCGACATACCAGTTCAATTTCCACCTACCAACAACTTCATACATTTCAAGTGCCTCACCAACACCTTCTACAAATACAAATATGCCCATAAACTATGAACCTCATAATATAGCTGGGAACAATTCTAACATTCACAGACATCAAGTATATTACCCACATAGCCAATCATCTGCTCTTACTCCACAACTACCCGTTACACCAAATGATACTGCAACTGTTAACTCATACTATTCACAAAAAAACTCCCCTCACACCGAATCTTCTACTACATCTGTACCAACAGGTCACTCTGACAATAGTTACTACACTAAAAACTTAACTCCATATAACACAGATAACACTAATTCACAATAAATAACATTTTATTACCTTTTTTTTTTTTTATATTTTACAGTTATTAGTTGTTATAACTACTTATAATATTTTATTCATGTATAATTATTATTATTATAATTATCTTATACAAATTTTTATATAATTAATAGGTATAATATTAAATAATGTTTTGGTTATGTTTATTTATTTACAAGATGTAATAATTATGTTTATATGAACCATTTTTTTTTTAACTAAGCTTAATAAAATATGTACCTACTTAAAAGGAAGGCATGAGTATTAATTTAATTTACAAAATAAAATGTAAGAATTTATTATTATTGCAATATGTACTTGTAGGTGCTTACCTCAAAGTAATTGTCAGCCTTTCTTCTTTTGAAATTGGAATGCGCATATTTGTCAATTGTTTTGATATAAATGGTTCACTTAATGAAATCTAAAAAAGAATAGTAATGAGTAGTTACATTATAGTTGGAATAAAAATATATTATTAAAAGTATATTATATTATTTACTAAGAGGATGACCCTACTTACTTTTCCTTTTTTATAAATAAAATATTTAACAACTCACCAATTCGTCAAACAATTGTACAGACATTCGGTAGTACTTGAAAAACTCTTCTGGATGTGCTTGAAGTACCATAAAGTTAACATTGAATTGGCCTTCTTGCGGCCTTTTTAAGTTGATTGGATGTACCCAATAACGTCTCTTCGATATATTTTTTTATTTGCTGATGTCGTTTATATAGCGCATGTGCCACAGCAATGGCTTCCACGTCATCCAATAATAGTAGGTCCATTTTTTAAATGCACAAAATACAAAGTTACAAAATGCTACTTAAAACAAGTCTATACTCAACCACGTGTTTAGAGCAACTGATGACTATGTCGCGCTAAAATCATATTGTTTTAAATATTGTAGTATTGTTCAAAAATTGGCGCCAAAAAACTGGTCGAAACCGCTTTTAAAACCGCCCGGGTGTGTAAGCAAGCCGCGGCAGCGGTTTCTTATCACCGCGGTTCATAATCCGAAACCGCGCGCGGCCAAACCGCTCCGTGTGTAGCCAGCTTTAGGGTCGCGTCACACTATCGCGGTTGCACCGCACGGTAGCTACCGCGTTAAAACTACCGCGCGGTAAATTCGTGTCACACTTCAAGCGGTTTTATGCGGAATTATGCTCTCAGTTGTGCAATTTCCGTTGTCCACGTGGGTTGTGCATAGTGATTATAATATATTATAATATCACAAGTAAGTTCAATTTTTTATTTAAGTTCATCCTTCATCAGAAATAAGAAGATCAAAAGTAAGTTCGATTTCCATTATAATTGACAGTAATTAACCTACATTTGTAAAAAAAAAATCCTTATTATATTTACCTACCTCATTTACTTCAATTTAAGTTAACTAATACATTTATGTTGAGTAGGATGGATTACAATTATTACATGCGTTCTTTGCAAGTAATATCAATCGCAGACTCTTTTGGGTATTTAAATTCTCCAAGAAAAGAAAGAGAATTTTGGGTACATCCATTTAATAAAAGCCGCGAAGATAATGAGCGTTTTAAAAAATTTTATTTGGACATAAGACAGTATCCACAGAAGTTCTTTGAATATTACAGAATGTCCATTCAATCATTTGATGAACTTTTGGAGAATGTGCGTCCATATATAACAAAACAAATTACACCATTTCGCAATCCCGTTTCTGCAGAAGAAAGACTCACCCTCACAATAAGGTAACATAAAAAAAAAATATATTTATAATATATAAAGAATTATAGTAGACTATTTAAAAATTCTGATTTCTTTATTTATAATTAATACATGTTGCTTGTCATACATTTATCATAAAATAAAATATATTTTTTTAGTTTTCTACTGTATGTAAATACTATATTTAAAATTTTTTTCCTTAAATCATTAAAAATATAGTAAGTGAAATTAAAAGATATTAAAACAGAATATTTAATAAAATATTATAATAATACATAAATTATAGATGAATAAAATAAAATAAAATAATAAAAAAAATGAGGAAATCCTTTCAAATTTTACTTACTTAATGTTAAAAAAAACTGTTATATAGTGTGGTGAGAATTTTCATCTTGACTACTTAAATTACTATGATTCACATCAACGTTAGGAGAACCTGGATAGGAATGTAGTTGAGGCGATGTGTGAGGTGATGTATGAGAAAAAGGATATGAATGAGAGAGATCAGTTTGAAAGTTTGGAAGAAATTGTTGATGATTATTTCTATAATTGGCTGAGTTAGGAGAGTAACCATCGTTTTGATAGTAATTAAATTGATGTGGCTATGGTTTATGATGTTCAAAAGAAAGAGTCTGTGAAGGATTTAGAATATTTTTTACTGACTGCATAAATTGTATTTTCAGCTAGGTCCATGTCCCCGGCATCCCCACTTTGAGCTTTCGTAAAAAAACTCGGGGCGATCGTTTGTACTCTGTTTGTACTGGTTTGTACCGCAAAAGTCGTCGTTTGTACCGAAAGCTGTACAAAGTTACAAACGTTTTAAGTTGGGGGTGCTGGAGACATGCCTGCACCCCCACTTTGAACTTTCGTAAAAAAAACCGGGGCGATCGTTTGTACTCTGTTTGTACCGCAAAAATCGTCGTTTGTACCGAAAGCTGTACAAAGTTACAAACGTTTTAAGTTGGGGGTGCTGGAGACATGCCTGCACCCCCACTTTGAACTTTCGTAAAAAAAACCGGGGCGATCGTTTGTACCCTGTTTGTACCGGTTTGTACCGCAAAAATCGTCGTTTGTACCGAAAGCTGTACAAAGTTACAAACGTTTTAAGTTGGGGGTGCTGGAGACATGACTGCACCCCCACTTTGAACTTTCGTAAAAAAAAACCGGGGCGATCGTTTGTACTCTGTTTGTACTGGTTTGTACCGCAAAAGTCGTCGTTTGTACCGAAAGCTGTACAAAGTTACAAACGTTTTAAGTTGGGCGTTGGACTTTGAGCGTTGGTATAAAAAAATCGGGCAAAATACGACTCATTCACCACTAAACCAACGCACTAATCGCAATATTTATCATGATCTTAGTTAGGTACGTACTTTTTGTTTTTCATAAATTTGAAAAATGTTTTTCTAAACACCATTGATCTAGCTTTGAGTTGAAGGTCCATTGGTCTTCCTAGCACCCCCGATTTTAATGTTTTTTTTTTTGGTTTTTTTTTTTTTCAAAAATGGGCTCTACAATTATAATATATTAATAAAATTTGTAACAAGATAGGTAATATCAAAATTATTAAAACAAAAAATTTTAAAATTTAATATATTTTAATGAGGATTGAGTGAAACAAAATATTGAATTTTATCATATAATAGGTTGTAATGTATGGTATGAACGTACTCAAATTAAAGTTTATTTATTTTGTTCAAAAATTTTAGCTTCAGTTTTTGAGCAACTTTAATGTTGAAATAGTTTTGTTCAACCGTTGTATTTTTACGACATTAATAATTACCTTTTTATAACTTGTTTCAACATGCATATATAGTTTCTATTATTGATGTTTAATTTAATATGCATATCTGACTAAACAAGATAGCTTGTTGATGAACTTAACATTTTTTCTTAAACCTTGATAGGAGGCATCTTTTAATAAACAGTTATTGTAATTTTTACCATTACTGTTTTATTTTTTTATTTTGGTTGTACCTCATGTAGTTAAAACACTTGAGCTATGGTTTCACATTGCTTTTAAAATAGGTATAGAAAAAAGTATTATTATTTGCTACATTTTTATTATTTTTGTAGCTTATGCCATGGAAACTTTTATAATATAAATTAAAATTTTTAAAGGAATATTCCTGAAATGAATACTGTTACAAAAAAACAACAACTGTAAACGTAAAATACACTTATAGAATTATATTTAACACAAAAATATAACTAAACCATTTAAAACCCATTGAAAAATAAACATTTTAAATTATTTGTTGCAAAATAAAATAACAACTAATATATATCTAACATAAAAATTCAAAATACTTATTTTTTCTAATTAATGATAAAAACTAAAAGATAGGTATAACTGTTAATAATTTTAAAATTTGTATTGTATCTAATGATAAGTTGTCTAACCGGAATCTAATTTGACTTTTTCACGCTTCAGCCAACGCACTTATCGCAAAATTTATCGTGATCCATACTTTTTAAATTTAATTTTTTAATTCAAAAAATCTTTTTCTAAACACATTTTTGATGTTTAATAATAATGGTGTACATTTTATAATTTAAAATGATTATATTATATTGTTATAACTTATAAGTTATAATATTCAATAATTATATAACCCTTCTTTTAACATATCCACCTATTATAACTACGAATAATATATAATAAACGTTAAATAATTTAAATATACTTTTCAATCATAATATTTAAGAAGCTAATACACTAAACATTGTTTTTATTAAAACAATTTATATATTTGTTTAATTTTATATAATATTAGTAGTATGATTTGGTATGTTCAGACCGCTGACCATTCTGACCTTCTGGCCTTCTGACCCTCTGACCCTTCTGATCCTTATGACCATTGGCCGCCGCACTTCGCGTACGTGCGCGACTTATATTTTTGACCACAGGCGGCACATTGCTCACGTGTGCGACATGTATATTTTCCCCGCCACCCTTTTCCCTGCCATCATCGGCCGCCGCACCTTTCGTACGCATGCGCATCGTTCAGATGACCACCGGCTATTAGTATACATCCCCTATCACTGACGCATGCGCACTAAAATTTCCCTCACCTGTTAAACTTCTAGAGACTACACCCGCACCTTTCGTACGCATGCGCACTGTAAAATTCCCCCACCTGTTAAACTTCTAGAGACATCTGACGACTCGGCAGTCGGCAATCGTTTAGTCCGTCTACTGCCCTTAACCGTTGTTCACGTATATTTTTTCGCTCGCTCTGAAAATTGTTTGTATATTTTTTCGCTCGCTCTGAAAATTGTTTGTGAGTTTAAACATGGCTGG